GAACGGCACAGCATACCACACCATATATACACCCTGTATATATAAAAGACTGTCTGCTAAATAATTATTTACACTTTGCACTGCCAAAGGTGATTGTTTAATTATCTGCGGTCGACGGCCTTTCAATATTGTATAATTTTCGTTTAAAAGTTTCGCGCGTCTTTCTACGTCACCGCCATTTTGTTTCCAGTTCAAGGGCATTGTGACAGTTCAGTTTTAGTATAATCGCGTTGTACAGATTAGATATTGTTTGTTTTTTAAACTGGTTTTATTAGGTAGAATATATAAAAGAAAAACGGTTATATTGGGGTTGATTTCCTATTGCTTTATTAGCTTTATTAACGTTTGCTTATCATAAAATAGTACTTTTATTTTGAATGAAACACTTTAACGGTTTAAAACGCGATATATATGCAGCAGTGACCATGACCATGGCCGCTGCAAAGCATCCGAAACGTAACCAACGCTTCGGATGCTTTGCAGAGTTTTAATTGTTTCCAAATAAGCTTAACTAATATAATATACTAAATACTGTCTGTCTGTTTATTTAGAAAAGATGTTTTTTTTTTTCTAAAAATCTATTTATTTTACACAGATTTTATAAAAATGAATTATTTTTTATATTTATTGTTTACGACTCGACGTTTGAGACTTTTTACCGTAGGAGGGTCGTGGGAAAACCAAAAATGATTGGCATCTCTAATGTCAACCGCTACGCTGGAGCCATCTGCTTCCTCGTAAGTTTGATACTTGCAGAAGTGGGAAGTGACTCACTGTGTCCTTATGAGTCAATTCCGTAAGGTCGGATCGTAAATACAAAATATCTCGCGTAATATTTTTCTCGTTTTAAACCGTAAAAAAGAAAGTACCTACAGTTAATGGTGAAATGTAAAAGCGTAGTTATTTTTATTGCGAAAGTCGCGCCATTTTGAGACGTTTTCGTGTCACGGTTACTAACTAAGGAGGTTGATAATTTTAAACATGTGATGGTTACTATATGTGGTACATATAATAGATGATATATTAAAACGTAAATTTTAACAGATTAAAACGCAAATATATTAGTTGACATGGAACATCGGTACAAAAAAATAATATATTTCTCGTTCTAAACCGTTAAGTATTTTATTTATCCTTACACTTGTAAATAAAAAGATCAAAAGAATCAATCATCGCAAGTGAAATAAAAAAGCTATTAACATAATGTATGCATGTAGCCAAGAATGCGACTTTAATCTGTGCTTCTGTCATTGATTTGACATTTTGAGTCTGTGGATGCGTTATGGCGGGAATCCAAAAATAAAAGGACCAATACTGCAAGTGTTTGGGCGTAAACAAGTGCTTTTTTTACGTAACTAAACAACCCGTGTATCATAAAGAAAAACTACTTGTTGTTAAGGATTCACCTTCCCGCGTTATGTCTTAAGCCAACGTTTAAAAATTTAAATCACCAAAAAACGGTTCTTGCCAGGTATTCTTAAATGATAGACCAATACAGCCGTGGACATTTTTTAGATCATAAAAAGAGGAATAATTCTTTAAAAAATATCACAGTCATACAAACAAACTTTTCAGCTTACTAATATGAATGTCATTGTTAAATAAAATCAAGAAATAATTAAAACAAGAACGACATTAGGAAAGAGAAGATTTAATTAAATATTGTAAAGAAAAAGTTATGACATAAAGATTATGTAAGTCTTAGTAGCTGAAAGACGCTGGTAACACCAAAATGTTCCACATTTAGAAACGAACAAAGGAGAAATTGTTTTACGTAAACAAGACTAAGTAGGGCGTAATTATTAATTGTATTTGACAATTATTAAGCACGTGTTACATGACGACAAATAATAATTATAATTGAATACTAGTTTTGACCCCTGGGGTTACTTGTAACTTTTTATGTCATTATTATTCGTCACATTCTCTTATATTGATTTTTGTAAAACCGCTGTAGTCATCGGTCGAGTCGTTTCGTTGATGGTTACGAACAGACGAAAATAATGAGAACAGACTCAATATTAATATTAGCAGAAGGTGGGTTTGAATTCCTATTATAGTCGTAGAGAAACTTATTAAAAAATACCTAACTGTCGCTTTAAAAATGTTACAGATATAAGATTAATGAGGAGACAGCACTTTTCTTTTAAATCGTGGTGAGCGTTTAGTATTGTTGCTAATTCAAAGTAACAAACTGACGAACATATCGTTTGTTTGTATAGATTGTACTTTGTTGAAAATTGCGTCTTTCATCTGCATAATACAATGTGTGGGTGCGCGTGATTCAAATGAGGTGTTCGTACTTTATAACAAAACAGAAAGTATATAGAATTATAACAGATAAAGAAAGATTATTATATGAAGCGATGGGGTGGGTCACTTTATGCACTAATGGTTCCTAATATTGAAGCGTTCAAACAAACAAACAACGTAAGTATATTAATATGATAAAAAAGTACTTTCGTTAAATTATCGTTTTTATAATAATAGAGTTAATTAAATACTGTCTGTAGTTTACGCGAGTAGTACATTTTAAATAAAACATTTTAACCGTTTAAAACGCAATATGTATTAGTTAAACTTGTTTGAAAATGATTTGGTGTTTGGGGACTCTCTCCCCCCGTGACCACGGCTGCTGGGAATCATCCGAAAGGTCGGATCGTAGTTACTCTTCAAATAAGTTCAACTATTATATAACGCGTTTTAAACCGTTAAAGTGTTTTATTTAAATAATAGAGTTAGATAACTAGGTTATACGATTAGTAGATACAATTGATATTTAAAACGGACACATAATTATGTCTGCCCTTTAGTTTGCCATTTTATATAATTGTCCTTTGTAAGTGTCAATGTTATCGATATAATATTTAATTTATCTTATCAGTATGAATCACGGCTCTATATTGTTAACTTTATTACATATCAATTAAAATACGGACAAATCATTAGATACTCAATGTCTTCTAAATGAAGGGGAAAGCTACTAAAATAAAATACGCGAAATATATATAATATTAACTCAACAGTAACTATTTGATGAATATACTAAAAATTAGAAAGGTTTTTATTATGAGAGATAATCACTTGATGGAAAGTAGCCACATAAACCCAGGAACTACTGGTTCGAATTAAAAAAATCTTAGTGCTCGTTAGAGCATCCAATTGTAGTGAAGACAGAGGGAAGTGTAAAAAGAACGGTCAAACTTATCGAGAAAATATGTATGATAAAAATTATCCTTCTTTAAGAGTATCTATCTTTAAGATTAGCTCGCGAGAACGACTGAAGAATTTATAAAATGAAATATTCTGATCTTTAAGCAGAAGCAATGGGATTATAATATAACCAACGTCTGTTGGTTTGTGTTCCTTTTAAATCTACGGATTTCAAACCTAGAAGTTTAAAAGTAATATATGCCACAGTTACATTATGCATAACGGGACAAAACACACTTGAAACTGCGCAGTTAAAAAGTTTCTTTCTTTGTTCTTGATGCGTAAAAAATAAAGAGCTATGCTAATAATATTAACAACAATACCATATCTATTATATTAGCCAAATTTAAACCAAGTAATATTTATTGTGCGTGTTGTTGCCTTTACGATATGACACCTTATTTTTAATAACCCGATCGTATCTTTTCTTTAAAATCATTTATTCAATATTTTATATCGTAAATCGCACAAAATATGAGGCCGCTAGAGGCAGAGTACTGCAATATTATGGCTCGAGTTATTTAACCGAAAATTGTTAACATAATTGTTACGTACAAATTCATCTTCCACCTTATTTAAAATCATTTTTTTGTCGATATAATTTCCGAGGTGTGAAGTTGCGCGCGTGCACTAGTCTTAGCAGTTTTTGGCGTTTCGCGCTCGTCGCGTTGGTCATTGAACGTGTGATTTCATATCTTCAGTTTGTATTGAATAAGTACGCAGTTATCTGTGGTTCGTCGGTGCGGGCGCGCGGCCCGCGCTTCACTTATCTTCAGCGAACGGAATCGAATTCGAATTCTGAAAATTTTCTTCGCGTGAACTATTGACGTATTGTGTTCTGAATTCAAATTTTATGCGGGTGCCGAACGCGAAAACCATTTAAATTTATGATTCGATACACTGTGTATTGTGTAAATAATTTTTCAAATTTATTTTTTCTATAAGAGAATATTTTATATCTGTGGCTTCTATTCTAATTACACAAAAAGGCGGGAATTTACAATCTACATTCTCTACAGACTGTATAAACTAGTGTTTGTTTTGATATAGACAATCAGCTGTTCGTGGTTTGCAATGTTCTAATTTTAAATTCTGACTATTGAAACGACGCAGTATTACTTGTTAAAATAATATTTTCGTTTCGTCGTAAATTACGTTTAATCAACTTTCTTTAACTACTTAATTAGGTATTTAAAAGTCAGATGTTAATTAAATTCGAGGTGCGGACTACGACCGCTCTGTTAACTACGAATTTTAATTTTAAATTATCGTATGTACTATGTTCTGAAGCAAAATATCGCAAGGGGCTATATAAGTTGTTTCTGTGGCTTTGTGCGTTCGAAATTTAAATATTCGCATAGTGTTTTTGCAAACTATTTGAATCTCCCGAATAACAGTACATAATTCTTCAAAATAGTACATTTTTTTCTAAGTCCTTCACCATATACAATCGTTGATACAGATAACAGTTTTATTATTTTATTCGTAAAAAGATATAATTCAATATATGTAGCGTACAAAAGATCCTTTGTTCAAGATAGTCTAAAACCTCAGGTGGCGCACGGCCTATCGGACTTTGTCAAAATATCAACTGACTCAACATGTGTACGAACAAAATGTGCTCCCAAGTGATAAACGGACATTCGTGACATTACACCAAAATGTCACCGGACAAACGAAAAAAGAGCGACGAAGTTAAACGGACTCACATATAGCAGTGTACTATCCAAACTTGTACTACCCAAGTGTACGATCTCAGTATTTAAGTGCTCAAACAAAGACTGAAAATGATTGCCTTGAAGAAACTGTATGGCGACGAACTGCTCCGCCTAGCATTAGTATTAAGCCTTTTAAAGGCTAACCCAGAGGAGTATCTGGAGATAGAGACCCAGCAACTGCTCACGGGCCTAAACATATCCAACGGCTCCGATTGGTCTCCGGAGCAGGAGGCCAGGACCTTAATTAGACCGCGGTACGTCCACCCCAAGTCCCTGGACAACATACTGATCAACTATGAAAGGGAACTCTTCGAGGAGCTAAACTCCTTGGGCCGGTATAATTATCGGATTAACAATGACCGGATGTGGTATAATGGTGCGGTACACACGTATTTAGTTAATAACGTGTCGACAGTCGCACCGGTACCGCCGAGTGATACGGATGATGCGGCCGTGTCCTCCGACGACAATGTAGCGCAAGAAGTCAAGATCAGCGAGGAGGAAGAACAGGAACAACCCATTGCTGTTGTCACACTATCCGCGGATTTCTTCGAGAACCGCACTGAGTCGGATGTATTCGCGGAAATCGCGAGCCGGACCTTCGACGTCAACGAGTTCCTCGTGACGGACGCAATGCAGATCAAGAAGGAACAAGACAACGATATGATAGTAAGAGTAAAGAAAGAAGCGGACGATGATCTATACAGCGATAATGCGACGGATGATTTCGTCCCGTACTTCGCTAAAGCGGAGAAGGACTTAGAAGAAGATGTGTTCCGCCAGAATCTAGCTGATCTCCAAGACTACGATGAGTTCTTCGATGATGTAAAGGATCTAAGGAGTGGAATCGAGAATTTGGATGTCAAGCAGCAGGAAAATTTAGAACAGTACCTGCTGGAGAACACTCCGTTAGAAACAGAGATTTATGAATTGGCGCCGATTTTCGAAGATGAATTTGCGTTGGGGGTTAAGAGGGAACGAGCTAGCACTAGTTTTACGTCAGCTAGCTCCAGTGGTGTGAGTGAGATGGATGTATCCGTCAAAGATGTGGCTACTCCTGATGTCAAATTGGAGCCTGATGAAGGTCATCATACTGGGGACGAGTTGACACAAGAGGTGAGTTCATTTGCGATAGATTAAATTTAAGATTCTATAACAAAAAAAAAACAAATCACAATTGGTTTCTTTCGTGTTCCCCGTGAAAGAAAGTTGTTGCCAAGTATGAGTTAAAAATAAGGAATTTTCGATACTGGACTTGATATCAGTCACCAAATACTGTTTTTTTACTCACCATATTATATAACAATATAGTATGTTTGTCCCTTTTATATACGTTCTAAATTACGTACGTGAGACAAAGATGGTGTATAAATAAATATGTTTTCAAGTAGGTGTGCGTTCTAATTATGCGAGTGACGTTCTTATTAACTTTTAACCTGAATACTTTATGCGCCAAAGGATAGGTAACCCAAATAAGCCACTGGTAGTTAAGGGACAGTTTTAGGGTTCTGTATACAAAGGGTGAAACGGGACCCTTTGTCCCTTCTAGTGGCCTGATTTTGGACGAGAAGAAAATCTTGTAAACTTGTTTGTACATAAATTGTCATTGGAAAACTTTCGATGGGATCTTTGGTCTCATGGTAGCAATATATGGCTAATGATCAACGGGTCGTGGGTTCGAACCCCACCAGGTCCAACTTGTTTCACATTTTTCTGAAACATACTAGACTTCGTGTGGAATTGTGGATATTAAATGGGTGGTAGGAATATAGAGCACCACCACCGTCCACAGATGAAAAAACTGTGAAGCTTAATCGCCTTACGGTTTCAATCTCTGGATTTCCGAATATCCAAAGCTGAAATAGGCCGACAGCGCATCTTGTTTAGATGCTATAAGCCGGGATATATCACCAACCATTAAGCGAACCCCATGCCATGTCTTTCCTCCTGTATCATGAAAGAACTAAATTTTCTCGCGAAAACATTTCTTTGGAAACCCAGATGCTTTTAATGCTGGCATCGAGCCAATGCAGCTGATTACAGCTAACATGTGCTAGGCTTAGGTCATATTCCTGAGGTCATTCTACCTGCATGAGGTCATGTCTTGGTGACCTTTGACAGTCGACTAGGTAGTCTTCCTGGCTTAGGGGTTCATCCCTTTACGTAGCATTGCGTGCAAGAAAATAAATTGTTTTATAACTAATATAGCACTTAAGTCTGTAATATTAGATCACTGTAACAAGCATAGAAATATGTCTGCCTAATGCCGACCTATGGAAAACGGGATAACTTTTTAAATAAAAGGCATATCCTTGAACAGTAATCCAAATTACAGCATCTAATTATGACTGTGTATAGTTTACACGATATATCGCGTTTTAAACCGTTAAAATGTTTTATTTAAATCTAATTATGATGTAATTATTGGTATGGATTTTGCAGCATTTGATATTGTATCAAAGAAATATATAAGCGGGGCGTTCACCCACCTGATATGCAAATAAAATAAACAACGTTACTAGGCAAAGATAGTGGCCGAGTGCGTTGGAGAAAGAAAGATTATAAAAAAAGCTATGTTAGATTTCAAATATGTGATGACACTACTAAATAAACTCAGTGCGACACTGTGCTTTAATTGCGAAGTCAATAGCACGAAACGTTGTGGTCCTAGATTCGAGCCCCGAAACGCTACTAACCCTCAAAGCTTTTTTATCTGTGGACGATGGTTCGCTATCCGGGCGGAATTTCTATATACATTACCGATTTATTATTCAGATTTCCAGACGTGATACAGAAAAATTATAAATTGATTAAAAACATGTCAAACCCACGACCCGTTGATTGTTAGCCATACATTACTACCATTACACCAAAGAACCCGTCAGATTTAAATAAAACACTTTAACGGTTTAAAACGCGATATATTAGTTAAACTTTAATGCAGCAGCCGTGACCACGGGCCGAAGTTTAAAATAAGTTTAACTAATATTTCGCGTTTGAAACCGTTAAAGCGTTTTATTTAAATGTGTACTACTCGCGTAAACTATAGACAGTATTCAACCCGTCAGATGTTTTTCATATTTACAGTTCGCTAAAGTCTTATCTAGAGCTAAATCTAAAATCATGAAGTTCAGTTAATTGCGGGATCAGACGAGACGGTCAACAGTCTAGACTCCAGACACTCGCAAAGGTAGTTTACAGAAGGGTTGAAGAACCTTTGTCACACATATAAATGTAAGATTGGTTCTGATTTAAAATATCCTTACTCTGTCTGTAGTTTACGCGAGTACACATTGAAACAACACCCTTTAACGGTTTAAAACGCGATATATTTATATTTAACAGTATAAAATAATGTTGTGTGCTGCTACTTGGTATCTTACTCGGCTGAAATCAGGCCCTTTGTTGACCTGAAACTGATTTTTAAGTGACTAACTCTTGTATTTCACACGTGAACAACATAAAGATATAAATAGCACGATTTATAGCGAATGTGTCTAAGTGTAAACAAATAATAGTGAAAGTGGCACGTGTGTATGTATATACATACAAATGATTCAATAGTGTACAGGAGCCAAACATCATAGGGAAGTTTACGGCGACGAACCACCGTCTACAGATCAATTCGTCAAGCCAAAATTGGCCGACAACACATCTTGTTGACATGTTATATGACTGGTGTATTTTATATCCCATCAAGTGTAAAATTTTTATTAAAATTGTATGAACTTACTAATTTTAACTACCTAGGTATGTCAAGTAGGTATAACTCTGTACAAAATAGTTTTAAAATTGTCTAAAAAGTCTATAATATTCCGCAATATTAAATACTTGAACTAATAATATTATGTTTTGATGCTTCAACTCGATTTATGAAAAGACATAAACACCCAATGCTTTTTAAACCTGCAAGGGTTGCAAAATATATCTTGTACAAACTTGTGCTATCGTGAAAAATCTCGGTTTTTACGTAACTATTTTCGCGGCGCAAGCGCCATTGACCCGGTTACCTTGACCGTCAGCTAGCCGATGCGCGCGCGCAGTCAGAAATACAGCAATACGTCAAGATTTCTTCTAGAACACGCGCGTTTGAAACAGCTCCATCTATTGGTGGCATAAGCCAATAAATTATATTATTTATTATGGCACACTAAGAGATAACTTACATTTTTTATTGTTAACTTCCTCCTTTTCTTCAAATGCTTATGTCAGTCAGTACTTAATTATTCTGTCGTAAAGTTATGTGCAATGTGTGTGTAAAAAATTGGCGTAAAATTAATATACACTTAATATATATATGCATCGACAAATTCTGAACTAATCACTCGTTTAATAAACAACGTTTAATAACAAAAACTTATACAAGTCAAAAATTGTATAAGTTTTTGTTTTTACCACCCTCTGTTGGTAAGTCACAGCTTATGTATGTTTTGCGATAGGACTGAATATGAATGGCGAAATTTTTTTTTTATAACGGTTATTCAACAGATGTCGTGAAAAAAATATATATAGTAGGTATTATTTTACTTTAAAATGTTATGCTTCTCAATGTTTTTGTAATAATATTTATACATTCAAGATGCTGCAAGCTTTTTCGAAATTGACGTCAGAGTATAAGTATTTGGTAACATACTAAGTATCTTCGAAAAATGACTAGATTCAACGAAGAACTATTATTTTGGACATTCTCAATTCATCAAGTCAAGTGGAAACTACTCCGATTGGTTCTAGGTTCTATTTTTGTGAATAAGATATTTACAATATAATTTTTCTCTTCTTTTTAGGACATGGATCTCATCGAAGTACTGTGGAAGCAAGATGTGGACATGGGTTTCTCCCTGGAGGATCCTATGCAACCGGTGAGTTCATGTTTTACTTATTAAGCTACTGAGTCGCCTTGGTGTAGTGGTAACTTCTTTTGATGTTGATGTTATTACGTAAAATTGCACGACCGGAGATCAACTCTGTCCTCATACATTTTTTTATTTTGGCGCGTGCTTTTGGTCAGATATAACATCAATCACGCAAGGTTGAACGCGGTTGAACTTAAACGCCAATTAATTTTTTTTTGTAATCGTTATATGTGTTACAGCGCCATCTATCGATGAAATTGCAAAGCAGTAGTTACAGTTAAAATTGTATAAGATTTAAATATTCCTTCAATAGATGGCGCTCAAATTTATTAGCTACTAAAATATCGTTCCCAACGGAAGGAAGCGTTTGTCGCGGGTTCGAGTCCCATATTCTGTGCCATCAAATGTTTTACTTTATAAATATTATATTATATTAGGGTAAAAAAGAGCTATTATAATTTTTCATTTGACTTACGTTTCAGGAGGGACCCCAAGCAACCAAAGTCGAATTGGCCAAAGAGCTGGACAAAGACCTTAAGATTCAAGAAGAGAAGAAAATGCAAGAAGAGAACGAGAAGATTGAAAAGGTCAAGGCGTGTCTTCTTGACCCCGACAACAAAGAGGTAAATTCGTAGATGCTATAAAACTCATCAGATTAAAACACAGAGCATTGAAGATTTTTTGTTTAGTTCAAAAGCTGCTTCTGGAGCAAAATGATTATACGTGGTTAGGATTCGAATCCCGGGGAAACCAAAAACTGTTTCGTTCGGGCTGGGCACAAATATGTAATCGTTCTATGAAACTGACATGGAAATTTTTTTGCCCCCATGCCCAACTAGAAAATACGGGATTTTAGATACATATAACATTGTTTTTGCAAATAACTAGTTTTTTAGTGGTAACTACTAATTCAATTTTGTGGGTGTTAATCGGCTTTTTTTATCCAAAATGGGCCGACTGCGCATCTTGTTTAGATGTTATAAGCTGGGCTATTTCACCTACATTCAAATGAAACCGATCTGTCCTTCTCTATGATAAAGAAAACTTAATAAGAATGCTCATTTATGTGTCTGTCTACCAATATACTGTACGCTTGTGTTTTTAGGACGATCCATGGGCCGGCCTCTCCTACACCGTCGACACTGAGACAGGTAAGTCTAATCTTACAATAGTTATTAATTATGATTTCAGTATACGTCCCACTCGTATTTTGTGGAATATTGAATATAGGATTATGATTCATGACAATATCTATATAGAGCTCATGGTATTCTTCTTCTTCCAACTAAAAGTCACCTTCTTCCTTTTTTTTTCGTTATATAGAGTGGACATATCTTTATAAAGAGTGTCAAAGTGAACTATTTTTTTTTAATGACTATTACGTATTGAGTCTCGACGGGACCTCAAATACCAATCAGGCGTTTCCGGCTAGACCAAGGGTGCCCCGAGGGGGGCATCGGCCTCGGCTTGGACCGCCGCAATGCGGGTGGAGGCTTAAGGAGCCGGACGGAAGCTCACCCGGGTGAGCGGTACGCGTAGAGAATGACCTCGCGTGTACTGATGGGACCGGTATAGTTGGCGGCCCGGGCCACCAGTGGGTTCGGATGCGACGCGGCTTTTTTAAAGAAGCTTTCGGAACTTAAAGTGAATTAGATAATAATTCGTCAATACAATCTTTTATTCGTTATAAATTTAAAAAGTAGGTATTTTTAAAATAGGAAACGTTTGTGTGGACATTGTGTGTTTGTCGTTTATACCAAAACGGATTGATGGATTTCGATACAATTTTAACATGAATTTTAACTCTTATAAGTGTAATAATATTCGCCTGTTCCAGGATCGATTACCGCCTGTTTCATAGATAATTACATACTTCTTCAAATTTAAATCTTTTTAACGTTCAATCCGATTGCAGTTAGGCTACTCTGCATCTAGCGGCCTCACATACTGTACTTTGTTCACGTTACCTATACCAACTCACTCAATAGGACCAGTAGTTACCCTCATATTATCAAAGTAAATAAGGGTGCCGCCCCCTATATAAAAGCTACGCGGGTTCGGTCAGAGATATACCCAATTCCTGTTAGTGATATTGGGGTGTGGAGTGAAATATATTTTTGGCTCTTATTTAGTAACGAAAACTAATACATGTTATTGGCTAGTAACTGCGGATGCGCAATTGTTAAAAATGACACATCACTTGACTCATGATATCTATACTCTATAAGCTGAAGAGTTTGTTTGTTCGCTTGTTTGTTTGAACGCGCTAATCTCAGGAACTACTGGTTCGAATTGAAAAGTTCTTTTTGTGTAAGAGCATTTATCGAGGAAGGCTTAAGGCTTTAACTTCGCGCGACCCCTAGGAGAGAAGAAACAGTGGGAAATGTGGAATAAACGGGGAAAATTCATCTTTCAGGGTTTCGAATGCGTGTGCTGAAACGGCCGCGACCGAACTTAATTGATTCTGAAACTTAGCCAGTTATTTGGTTAAGTTTAGTATCAACTTACTACTGTCCTACTACTGGATATATAACACCTATACCACATGTGCTGTCCTATTTAGACTTTGGATATTTCGAAATCCACAGATTGAGACCAAAACGCGATTAAACTTCACCGCTTCTTCTTCGGTAGATGGCGGTGGTGCGGGATGATTTGATATCCAGATTTCCAGACTTATAAATTGATTAAACACATGTTGGTAGGGATCCAACCCACGACCCACTATTAGGTATTAGCCATACATTGATAGGTACCATCAAATTTCTTCTCCTTCTTTTATTTATTTGCAAACTCTTTCAACGTCTTCACAAAAGTCACATAAACGCTGTACCGATAGCTATACAACGGCGGTAATCATTTCGATGGGATTTTTTTGTATATTTTAATAATTTCGAAAACCCCTCGAGTGCACAGCGGGTCGACCATTAGTTCGATGAGTCAGCGTTATTTCGGGATAGAAGTCCGCCGAAGGGACGTGCATTCGATGCCTGTTTTAATTCTACTTTATGTAGTTGAATTTCCTGATATTACATTGAGTAGGTACCTAATTTTATTTGAATAGCTTATAGCTTAGTCATTTATAATCCATACTGTTAAACTTACTCTGTTATCTGGTCAAAATGTTTTACCTAAAAGTGACGAAGATGGGACGAACACATTTCTATGTCCGTTTCATCGATCCGTTCTTTAGCAGGCAAGTAGTTGATCAGACTTCTAAGCCCTGTCCGACCGAAACACAATGCTAGGCAATACGTTTCGCCATTTGGTTAGAGGCGGTAGAATTGTTGTAAGCTTAGTATAATTGCTTCTTGAATACATCATACTAATTACTCAGAAACCTTCTCTTGCTTATTTCTGACGTCTATATGCCCCATTGTATGGCAACACCAGCTGAATAACATATAATATCGAAATATTCATAAACCGATTCCCAATAAAGGAGAAAAAAAAAACGAAAAGTATTAATCATTGAGAACAGACGACGATGACTCGTGGAAATAGTTCGAAAACGATTCTTTTTGAATTTCGAACGCGGCGCGGCTGTCACTCGGCGATACGCCCATTTTATATCGAGCTCTCGTTGCGAGCGGACGTGCCGGGGGCGGAACCGTTTACAATTTGTCGGTACGACTTTGAAATAACTATCGAAGGGCCAAATATATTGATTTTTCCCATAGACCTAAAATAAGAACACCTACTTAGCAAGATATAGCAGAGAAAATACCGCAAACCTTATAGCACGCTATCGTTCCGTAAATACTTGTTTTCTAGTAGTCAAAAGCACGTTTTAAAAATAATAGCACTCGAATATAGAATAGGTACCTATTCTATGTCTGCGCTACGTTATTTTCATTTTTTTTTAATAAAACACTTTAACGGTTTAAAACGCGTTGTAACACGTTTTACTTAAATGCGTACATCGCGTACTATTCGCACACACGATCTGTGTTGGTTAAATCGTGTCGTAAGAAATCGTCGTACCGACGTTCTGTCAACGCTCCCTCACCCTCTACGCGTATAAACGTAGGCTTCGGTGTGTCACGGTAAAATGGCGCCCGATTATTCCCGGGGCATCGAAATACGTGTCGCGGCCGAAATTTCGAAGATCGACTTATTAAACTTTTTTCTCTCCCTTTGTACGGCAATCATAACTTGGGGTTTTCTAATGAATAAATTATACTCGAAAGGTTTTTTTTATGTGTAATAAGTATTAGCGCTTCGCTGCCTTTAACTTGTTTTACGAGGTTTCAGGGAAGATATAAGTCGTAGCTAAAACCTAGTTATACCTTTTTTTTTGGTATACGTTAAGTTTTTTTTATTATTATAGAGTAGAACAGAAAGCATGTCCTTCTGGCATTGGCGCTGTAGGTGAAATACTTCAGCCTATAACATCTATACAAGATGCGCTGTCGGCCTATTTAGCCTTTGGATATTCGGGAAGCCACAGGCTGAAACTCGACGGCTGATCATCTGTGGACGCTAATCGTTACCGAACGGAATTTCGATATTCCATCACCCATTTGATATCCAGATTAGACCTAATCTAGCAAGTGGAGGTCAAGCCCACGACCCGATGATTCTTTTAGCCTATATTGCTATTAAATAATGTCTATAGTTTACGCGAGTAGTACACATTTAAATAAAACACTTTAACGGTTTAAAACGCGATATGTTAGTTAAACTTATTTGAAAAATGATTTTTAACTTCGGCCCGACGTTTCGGATGCTTTGCGGCAGCCGTGGTCACGGGGAAACATATTGCTATTATCACACCAACGAGCCCGTGCAATGGTATAGGGCTTTCGCGTCCATTTGGCAAAGCATCTTGGGTTTTCGAGCTTTCCGACCGGGGTAAAAAAGTTTAGGTTTCACGATTTTGACTCGGGAGCCGAACCCACTGATCGCTCATTTAATGAAACACTCAAGAGGTTATAATGTGAAATAAAAATGTATGCATCCGTAACGTCGGGTCGTAATTTGAAGTCAAGTATTAATTTTAATGCGTTAGAAGTGTTTCAAATAATATGCACCACAGTTTAAACTGCAGAATGTACTAAATTGTAGAATGATCTTACTGGTTTTTTCTTAATACTTCTTAGGTACTTATTACTAACGATAAGAGATGTGTTTCAAAGTTACATTATTTTGGATATCTATATATTTCTATGCTAAAATTATAAAGCAGAAGAGATTGTATGCTTGTTTGAACGCGTTAATCTCACGAAGGGTAGACTAGGTGTTCGATTTTTTTTGTGTGTATAATGTTACAGTGCGATGCGAAAAACAGTGGGAAATGTGGAAAAAACCGGAGAAAATTATGCATCTTTGAGGCTTTCCGTTGCGTGCGCTGCGTAAACGGTTCAAGATACCCTATAAATATGTATGACTCTTCTGTACACGATCTAAAAGTGTCTGCTATGTCTATCTTTTACACTACATAAAAAAACAAATTTACGCGGACGAAGTAGCCGGCACAGCTAGGTGCTATGTATGTGTGTATTGTAAATGCTCCCTTCCACCCCTCAGAGGTACATAGCATACACACAATGGCTGAATCGTTTCCGATGCAACAAAAGCGTTATTAATGACCTAATCCCGCGGGATTGAGATGTCAGGCCACTATTAATCAATGCTACACAAATGTTTTATTGTTGAATAAAACGAAGTGCGTTTGGGATGTGTACTTAACCGACTTGAAGGAAAGGTGATTTTGATTTAAAGTTTTAATATTGAAATAAAACACTTCAACGGTGCAAAACGCGATGTATTAGTTAATCTTATTTGAAAATTATTTTTAACTTAGGCCCGACGTTTTGCAGCAGCCGCAGTCTCCCCGTGACCGCGGCTGCTTCCGCCAAGCATCCGATCCATCTTTAAACCGTTAAAGTGTGTAGGTACTACTCGCGTAAACTATAGACGGTATTTAGTTTTAATATTTTCAGCCAGTTCGCGGAATGGATTTCAGCGATATAATCGCATTAATTTTATTTCAAAAGAATAAAGGTTAATGATCAGCTTTTTTTGATCCGCAAATTATCTATAGACAATCATGAGTTTCTCTTGATAGGAGGATGTCCTAGCTCGTTCAGATGTTATAGCTAAACAAGATGCGATATCGACCTATTTCGGCTTTGGATATTCATATAAG